ATTTGGCCTTTCAAATGTCTGGCTCACTTTGTAAGTCAAGAAACCCTAACCCTAGCTTGTGCCTATAAAAAAAGATGTTTGGTGCATCTAAAAATCATACTCACACAGACACATATCGAGCTCTCAAGCTCACGCCTCGAGCCTCCACCTCGAATTCATAACATATTTGAATTTGAGGTGTTCGTGATAGGAAATCCTTCGTTTGATTCAAGAACAAACTTTTAAGCCCTTGAATCAAAATTAGAATAAGAGAGAAGAATCAGGGGAATTCACGGAGATTTTAATGCGCTTTCGTTTGATAATAAATTTTATTTGTTTCCTATATTTTTCTCGTCTTGTATTTATATATTTTGCAGATGGGAAAATTTGTGGTTTATTAATTGGCACGCCCAGTGGGACAATCTTCGCCTCTCATCTCTTTCTCCGATGTCAAATTCCATGTTCATAGGCGATTCTCAAGAAGAAGTGGCCTTGGTGTAGTTATTGTGACCAGTAATCAAATCATACGGCGGGGGCAAGCAAATTGACAACACCGTCAAATATCTCCAATTCAAAAGTACGAGAGAGTGAGAATTCAAATCCTTGTGCAACTTGGGGAAAAACCAGCCAAAAAAAACTCATGGTTATTTGTTGGGAAATATTACATGATTTTCTTTCCGTAGAGTAGCAACCATTACGGATTTACGGTGAAAGAAAATTTGTAAAATTCTTGCATAGTGCAATTAAAAGAAAATTTTTCTTTGTAGGAGATGGAAAATACTCCGGATTTCTTTCTCATGCCCAGAAGATTTTTTTTTTTTTTTTTGCAATTATGGTTAGAGTTAAAAGAATCTACCAAATCACTGCAATGCTATCTTAAGGAAATTTCCTAAGTTTCAGCAAAAAAATGGGCACTACAAGAAAATTAAAGAGAAATCAATGGCAACGATCATCTCCTCTAACGCTCTGTTGATGGTGAATCCAGTGCCACACATCCACTTATATGCGGTCTAAAATATCCCACAATCTACAATCAACGGAGGCCGCATAAATATTCACTCGAACGTCAATTTCGCCTCTACATAGCCGCCAGAAGCAGCAGCCGGTGTTGTCAACTCTTGGAGTCGTTACAGCCCTACTCGTCCAAATATGCCGCCACCATCGGAATTGTTGCACCTCCTGATTTCAGTCAAGCCTCGCCCACTGCTGTCATCAGCCATGGCCACGGTTCGCCTCTGCCAACAATTCTTTGTACCACCTACGCTGAGAAGACGTCGCATCGCATTTGAAAGTCGTATGCACATCGTCGCCGGCCGTCCATGGCAATCCACGCAAGTTAGCTTCAATTACCTACTCTGCGACTCCCAACACCACTCCAAAGCTAGCCGAGTTGAAGGCCCACCATGAATTGGATGCTCCAGGTCCATAGTCAACGTTGGGATGCCAACAAAGGAATGAAGGCCAAAGAAATTTGACTAGTGTCGTCAAGCATTTGGTGACAAATGAGGTAAGGATGATCACAAATTGAGAAAGCAAAAAAATATGCAATTGGACCCTTAAGGAAAAATTGCAATTAATTCCCTATGGTAGACGTTTCAGATTGAAATCGGAAAGAAAAGGAAAACGAAACGTGATAAAGTAAGAAGAACAAAAAATGGTGGACTTCTCAATTAAGTCCACAAAAGTGGTGGCAATTCCGAACAAATGAAGTACTTCAAGTCTCGTCTCACAAATATGCAACATGTTCTTCGCTGAGACTAGAAGTGAGGGTATTTGTAGACATATAAATTTTACGATAAATTACTAATTAATAACCAAAATAAACAAGTTATTAATTAGGTCTCAAATTAAAGTCCATAACATATTTGGGCTTTAAAATGCCTTGCCCACTTTGTAAGCCAAGAAACCCTAACCCTAGCTTGTGCCTATAAAAGAAGATGTTTGGTCATCTAAAAATCAGACTCACACAGACACATGTCGAGCTCTCAAGCTCACGTCTCGAGCCTCCACCTCGAATTCATAATATATTTGAATTCGAGGTGTTCGTGATAGGAAATCATTCGTTCGATTCAAGAAGAAGCTTTTAAGCCCTTGAATCAAAATTAGAATATGAGAGAAGAATCAGGGGAATTCACGGAGATTGTAATCCACTTTTGTTTGATAATAATTTTATTTGTTTCCTATATTTTTCTTGTCTTGTATTTATATATTTTGAAGATGGGAAAATCTGTGGTTTACAATGTGGTTCTCCCATTTTTTATGTTTTTTTGTCAACTCCTCCTGTAGATGATCCGGGTTCTCCCCCTTTCTGAGCAAGGGCAGTGAAATAAGCAAACCTTTGTCGCAGTTCTTATGCATGAGCAACGACGGCATCGTATTCTGCAGAGAGGTGTGCCACGAATTCGATAAGTGCAGGTGCTGGGTAGTACGGGAGACCGTTCGACGAGACTTAACGGATGTCGAAGAGGCAGTCGGGCGACATGATAGATCGTCCACTCGTGGTACGCGTCGTGGATTAGATTGAGGGTCCACGATTTTGGAGGAAATAGAGAGCGGGAGTGGAAGAGATTGGACTGCATACCTCATGTTTCGTACATACCCTTGTTCCCTCATACGACGAAATATCAAGGATGGGAATGGAAGAATAAAGGTGGTGGACTGGGAGTCTGCCTCGGCGATGATCTCCTCAAATAGGAATTGTGCCAAGTCAAACACAACTCCAGTTTCGATATAGTAAAGCAGAAGGCCCCTTCGTCGAGTCAAGGAACCCTGGTGTGCAGTAGTAAACCAATTTGCCGTGCCGATGGAAAACAAAATGCGGTAAGTCATGGCGAGTCCCGAATCGACATCCTCCCGAGATCTTCTAAGCTCTCCTCCCGAAGAACCGATCTTCTTTTCGCGTGAAAGAAGTAAACCTTGAATAGGCGTTTTATCACCCAAATGTAGATTCAGATTGGTTCACGATTCAGATTGGTTCACGATTTGGCGCTATCTATCAATGTTGATTTATATTGGTTCACGATCTGATCGGATTTATTCGCAGATGTCTTTGCGTTTATCACCTCCGTCGTTTCAATGCTACTTACCCGATCCACATAATTTAATTTGCGTTAATTGTGAGGAGCCATTTCCTAGGAGTGTAAATGAGTTGAGCCGGCTTGAAGCTCAACCTCGAACCGAATTTTTAGAGCTCGAACTTTCTGACGAGTCAAGCTCGAGCTCGTGAGTTTTTTTAAAATTTAATTTAATTTCTTTATTATTATTATTTTAAACATAATTAATATAAAATACTAATAAATACAAATCTTATATATAAAAGAAAGAAACGATGGGCAACCCTAAAAAACTCTAATAGTATTTCTGTAATTATTTATTATTAATATTTTCTTTTGTACTAATTTTTAACTATAATTTTTAACAATTATCAAAAATTGAAAGTAAACCGTGAAGAATCCTAGCATAATGGTACTTCTGTAATGATTTATTTTTAATATTTTTTCTCTACTAATTTTCTAACTATAATTTTCGACAATTACCAATCTCCTATTTTTCATCAATATATCTCAAATCTTAAGGGATAAAGATGGTAATTCTATTTGTTAAATCTATTTGGATTATAAATCTTAATATGTAAGATTTAAAAAAACTAACGTTATATAAAATATGAATAATACTACATTATTAAATTTTACTATTTTAGTGTACTATATTTTCTTATTATGTTTTAAAATTGATTATTTTTTTCACTTTTAAAATAATATCTCATGCGTCGCACGGGGAAAATATGCTAGTAAATAATTAAAAACAAATTACAAATCATATTTTTTATTTCGATTTTTTATTCTAAAATATAATAATAAATCTCTAATAATATTAATAAAAAATAAAAAATAAATAAAACAATACACAACATGGCTCATGCTCGAGTTCGACAAGCTCGGCTTGCTAGAGCTCGAGCTTATAAAAACAATACCCGAAACGCTTGAGCTCGTCAAAATGAATGCAAGCTTGAGCTCGAGGTTCGCCAAAACAGCCAAACTCGGCTCATTTACACTCCTACCCTTTCTCCTCTAGTGGTGGTAAACGAGCTGAGCCGACTCGCACTCGAACTCGAGTTTTTTTTTTTAATTGTTCGTGAGATCACGAGCCGGCTCGCAAGCCTTATTTTTTTATTTTGTTTTTATATTGTTTTATTTAAATAATGTATAATAATATACAAAAGAGCATATATATATATATATATATATATATATATATATATATATATATATATATATAT